TAATTCAGGAAAATATACACCAAATAGCATAAATCTTGAAGCAATTATGAAATTAAATAGGCCATATAATATAAAGAGTTTACAAAGATTTCTAGGCACCATTAATATTTATAATAAATTTATTCCCCACTATGCACAAATTAGAGCACCCTTAAATGACCTTTTAATAAAAAATGCTCATTGGTTATGGAGTAATAAACAAGAAAAAACATTCCAAACACTAAAAATGCACTTGTTTCACAACCTGTACTCCATATTTATGATCCATCAAAACCATGCCATTTGTTCACAGATGCATCAAATCTAGGAATATCAGGTGTCCTTAAACAACCTGATGAACAAGGCATTTTACACCCCATAGGTTATTTTTCCAGAAAGTTACACCCATATGAACAGAATTACACTGCCTCAGAAATTGAAACATTAGCAATAATAAATTCAGTACAAAGATTTCACACATACATACACAATATTCATTTCACCTTACACACAGATCATTTACCTCTAAAATGGCTTAAAAATGTAAAAAACCCACAGGGAAGATTATTTAGATGGTCATTACTTCTCTCACAGTATGACTTTGATATAAAACATATAAAAGGGTTACACAACATAGAAGCAGATATGTTATCTAGATCACCAGTTTCACACTATTTAACAATAAATGAAATAAAAGAACACCAATTTACAGAGCATATTAATAGCAATAAAATTAAAATTCAAAATGGCATTTACATAGTTAGAAAAAAAGGATTTTATAGGGCATATGTACCACAATCACTTAGGCAAAAATTATTACATAAAGTACATACAAATCATGGACACATTGGTACAACACAAATGACAAAAATACTATTTCCCTATTATTATAAACCACATTTTTTCTCTTGATACAATGGGAGGATTACACAATTATAGGACAACAAAGCACAGCATTCATATGATAGTAGACCATCATAGTAGATTCTTATGGACTTTTCCAACTAAATCTGTATCAACTGATTCTTATATTACCTGTTTAAAAAACTTATTCCAAATTAATAAACCTGAAATATTAATAACTGACAGAAATGCAGCTTTTCTTAGCAATAAATTTAAACATTTTTTAGAAAAATACAATGTTAAGCATCTACTCACCAGTGCACATCATCCAGAAACAAATGCTAAAGTAGAAAGGTTAAATTCCACTATCATTAATAGATTAAGATGTGAATACAATAGTAGTTTAAAAATTCCTTGGACAAAATACATTCCTAAAATTACTGAAAGCTATAATACAACAATACATACAATAACAGGCTTTACTCCTAAATTCTTATATTATGGAATACAACCACAGTATATAGAACATACCACTGAAAAACATACACCAATAGAAAATGCAAGAAAATTATCAATTGAAAGAACTATAAAATCACATGAACATAGTAAGCAGCTCTATGACATTAAACATCCAGAACCCATTTTTAAAGTAGGAAATCAAGTATTGGTAAAAACTTTTATTTATCCAAACACAGGTAAATTAACTCAAAGGTATATAGGTCCATTTAAAATTTTAAAACAACTTTCCCCAGTAACATATGAAATAGATAAGCCTAATATACCTCAAAATAAGAAAACTGAAATTATACATTCTAATAAACTTAAATTATTTTTTACCGAAACAGACTTTTTACTTCAAGATAACACTAACATAGGAAATAACTCAATTTTAACCCAAAATTCCAACCAAAAATTAATAGATATTGATGACAACCCATGTTTTTTGCAGGAAGAACATATTTTAGATATGGAAAATAAGGAACTAACTTCAACACCAGCACTATTACCTACAAAATATATTTGATTTTTATCTAAATACTCTATTATTTCCATAATGTAAGTTTTACTATTTTTAAGACAATTAATTTCAATGCATTGTGTGTAAATAGGCTATTTTCTTTTGCGTAATAATCTTTTGAAATCTAATTCATATTTTAAATACCTTTCTTTTTGTCTTCCTTTAAATTTTTGTATATAATTTTCATTATTATTCCATACCTAATTTACATACATATTATATACATCATATTTTAAAAATATTATTTGTTTATAAACAAACTAATTAAACAGAAGATTTTGGACATTGATTTTTATTGTTTAATATTATATTCTATTTTGTAATCTATTTTCCTTTTAATTTGACACCTCATATAAGTCTTTTCACAGGGGGGAAATGGTTCCTCGAGCCGGATTACAGCCTGTTACAAAACTATGTAAATCCAAAAAATGATTTGTTAAAGTTGAAGGTGCAGTCGTCTTGAATTTAATTAAAAAAGAGTAAATCAGTCTCAAGAAGTTTATTGTTGAACTCTTTGAGCAAAAAGATTATATTAATTTTAAGTAAATATAGAATTTTAACATTTAATTCTATATCACTATTTACATATTTATATAAAATAAAATCTAACTTACCTAACCTCTACTAAAAAACAAAACAATCTATTTATATTTAAGGTGGCGCCATCTAGTGGCCAAGAATAACAGTTATTTTAAACAGATTATTAATAAAATAATATGTACAAGGATTTACATCTATGACATTTCTATAAATTATTTTTTAAAAATTATATAACATATATATATATATATATAAAGGCATCTCCTAACCGTACAACTAGGATAACTTCTCATCTTCAGATCCTATTAAAGTAATTTTAAGATATGAACAGCAAAGCGTAGCTTTATTTGCTAATATATATTGGTATTTTGTTTGAAATATGCACATACGCTTTTCGGACAGTATAAATACATATAATTATAAATATATAATATTGTAACAAAGTATTTATTAATTTTATTATTTTATTAACAGAGTGGTCATTTTTATGTTTATATTTTGCTACAATGTAAATTTTCCTCATGGCTTATCTTTTGTTTACTATTCATAGTTGGTCCTTGCCTGATATAAATTGTTGTCTCCTCTTGAAGTTTTTATCTTCCCTAATTTTCCACGTGGCAATATGTTTAGAGCAATTGCTTTTCAGCAAACATCAATCAAGGTCTTTTTTAGAACAATTATAATAAAGTAGTATAGTATATAGTATATAGTTGGGTGTGTGTATACACACACACACACACACACACACACAAAAACCGTTATTAAGACACACAGGTCTTACAGAAGATTATCCTTGGGGTTACAAGACGGAGAAACCTAAGAAAGTGGGGAATATACAAAGGGGTAAAAATGGAGAAAGATTATATACACATGGTAAATATATACAGATTATTATTTGAATAATCCTATGGAAAAGAAACAATTATAATATGATGTATTATGGCGCCATCTGTTATAATAAATTGAAACTATATTCAGTTATGATAAGGCACAATTTGGATTATAGATTATAAACACAAGGTAATAAGACCAAATCAAAATTAATAAAAATTGTTATTGGCTTTTCTTGATTTATCAAGAAATTGGGTTGACGAAATATCACGGAGCAAGCTAAATAAAGTTTAGTTTATTTTTGCTCCACTAGATGGCGCTCTGCCATCTAAAAAGCACATGTTCTCGTGGTCAGGAAATGCCTTCTTTATTTTAAAAATAAATATATATATAAAGTAAAAATCAATTTTATAAAAAAAGTTAAAGTATATTAGCGTAATTTAACATAATCCAGCTATTTTCTGTCTATAGTTACAATATTTCTACCTCCCGATTGAAAAATATTTTGCCAGCGTTGCTTGGAATATCAGTGGATGATAACCAAAAGATTTCTATCTTTTTATATTTTTTTGCATTAGCGATATTAAAAATTGTTTTTTTAAACAAACTACAATTTTTATATTATATTTTCCTATTTTATAAAATGGGTTAAAAATTGGTATATAAAATAAATTCTAATAAAGCCACATATAACATATTATAGTGCATTATGGTGATTAAAAATGAAATATTTTAATCTATCTATATATATATAAAATTGAATGTCTGTCTGTGTGTACTCTATAGATTCAAACACCATATATCCAATCGCCGTGAAAATTTGGGATATTATTAGGTATATCCCCGGGAAAGTTTTTGAAAATTAATTTCTTGAATATCTTGAATATCCTTAGAGTTATTTGCAGATTTGTAGATTTAACTCGCAAGCAGTGCCACCATTGCGACGATGATAACAAGTTTTTTATCTATAAGTTTTATTATCACTAAGTTCATTATCTTAAAGATTATTTATCAAAAGTAAGATTATCTCAGGATGACACGGCAATTTATTTGAGACAAGAATAATGATACAATTTAAGGCGAAAATACTATTCCTTTAACTTCCAATTACCGAAGGAACCAACTAATATTGATTTTATTCAACTTATCGAGTATTTTTCAAGGGACCGGGAAAAATGTTCACTAGATAAAACGATGATTTTGTAATGTAGAAAATTAGGAAAGACAAAATTCAGGATGACACGGCACACAGGGACCGAGAAAAAATGATCACTTTATCGAGAGATTCAAATTTACGAGTTTCAAATTATCAAAATATATATATTTTTTAAATAAGTTTATAGAGAATTGTTTTAACAAATGTTCGTTAGACAAACCTTTACTCGGGTAAAACCTCGAGCGAAGCCGGGTACATCCGCTAGTTTATAATAAAATATACTTTTCTGACGTTCTTATAATGATGAGTAAATATTTCAGTATCATGTTTATATGTGTTGTATATGTTGTATATCGACATTTGAAAATTATCCCGCATGTGTTTCTTTTGAACGAAAAATAGAATTTTATTTTAAGGAGATATAACGATTATTTCTAACTTTAGGGATGATGTATGAAAGGATGAATTTTGAAGAGTAATGATAAACGGAAAAATAAAAGTGTCCAGGGATGGGAATCGAACCCACAGTGTTCCGCTTACCGGGAAGATGCCATGTCCACTAGGCTACAATCACAAGCCGCATTATATTGTATTATAAATTACTTTGTATACTATTTACGAACGGAAAAATATGTCCAGGGTAGCCTAGTGGACATGGCATCTGCCCGGTAAGCGGAACATTGTGGGTTCGATTCCCATCACTGGACACTTTAATTTTTCCGTTTATCATTACACTTCACAATTCATCCTTTCATACTTCATCCCTAAGGTTAGAAATGATCGTTATTTCTACTTAAAATAAATTTCGATTTTTCGTTCAAAAGAAACACATGCGGGATAATTATCAAATGTCGTTCTACAATCATAAGCCGCGATATATTTTATTATATGTTGTATATATTAAGATAAATTAATTGATTGTTCCCACAGATTGTGTCTGAAAGATCACAAGAAAATAGACGCTAACCAGAAGCATTTTTTTTGTTTCTACTCTCTCGTATAAATCAATAAAAATAATGTTTGACCAATCTTCTTGGAATCAGTATCTTAAAAAAAGTCTAAGCAAAGTCAACATTATACCTAAATGTAATTACATTAATTTTGTTTGAAATGCAATGGTGCAGAAGCTTCTCCGGAACATATCATGCTCAGAACTGACAATAGAGGACCTATTTTCCAGGCCTATAACTACCATCGCAAAATTGGAGAGGAGTGGACTTCAGGAATTGGTTTAACCATGGAGATAAGTACCACCACCACCACATTAATTTTTAATATTTTTTGAAATTTATTTTAAATAATATATATTTGAAAATTTTAATTTTTCGTTGATATTCGAAAGAATATATGAGTTTTACATTTCTCAAATACACATGGTAAAAACTATGATAAGCATTGATGAAAACGGCTGATATTAGTTTCTTCCTGAAAAATCAAGAAATAGGTAGTTAAGACAAAATTTAAATAATTAGACTTAAACATGCGGAAAAGTCAAAGTAAGAAAAAAGAAAAGAAAAAGGTTAGGTAATAATAGGATAAATATTTGCATATACATACTGCTCAAATGAGATTTCAAGGTGGAAAAGCGCTATCAACCGATAGATGGCGTTCGGCCATCTAAAAGGTCCAAACGAGCTGAGAAAGTCAGAATTAGTCTATTCATTCATTGAATTGCTATCTGAATCAAATATTAATTTATTGCTGCAAAAAGGAAAAATATAAACATTCGAAGAATATCGCTTTTATGCGTATTATTTATTTATTTCAACACAAAACGCGATATCCCGGCTAGGGATAATTGCGTCGATTTATATTTTTAAACAAAAACAGTTATAAACATATTATACAAAAAAATGCTTTTAAAGAAACAATAAGATATATGAGGAACCTGATCCTTCCAGGTTAGAAAGATAATCATAAATATATTTACAGGAATGGTTAAATCTGTGACAATTATATCTGGTATTTACAAATTGATATAGATCTACAACATTATTTACTGTCTGTTTTCTAGTGATAAAGAAGAGTGGACATTCCAGCAGTAGGTGTCTCCAGTCCTGGATTTCCTTGTCATAGTGACAGCTAGTCCTCAACCGCTCCAATTGTTGATAAAAAATCCCTTAAAATATCCATGGTTCGTTGTAAACTGGGCATTATAAAAATTGGAACAGAAAAATGATATGAATATTATGAAAATAAGCAAGGCGCACACTATGCTGTGTCTATATAATATAAATATGTGAAATATTTATATGATAAACATGAAGAAAATTCGTTTTTACACTAATTTTTATTTTTTTTTTGCTTATCCTAAGTAAACGTGGGACAGGCCATTATAATTATGGTGGATAGAAGTAGGCGACTGCTTTTACTATAAGTACACTGCATGTCTACACATGTGAAAAACAGTTCGACTTTGCATTTACAAATGTGCCAGACCCTGTTTGATTACTTGCACTAGCTTGTGTGGTTGGACTTTTACAAGAATCAGGGGCCATTGGAGCATTTTTTTTTAAGGTTAAAAAAAGTGCCCAATGCGGGAATCGAACCCAGATCGTAGCGGTCAAAATCCAACGGTTTAGATCATCCTTCCACCGATCCCCCTATTTTTACATTGAATCTCTTTATAAAAAAATGATCATTTAATATTTACACACAAATATTTAAGCGATGAAATAAATTAGATATATTTAATTCCTATATTGTTTTGACATTTCTAGTTTTCATAAAACAAATATATTATTTGAATAATAATTAAACAAGTCATATTAATTATTTTATTTATTACTAGCGGGTGTACCCGGCTCCGCCCGGGTTTTACTCGAGGGAATGTTTGTAGTCTAGTATGTTGTTATAATAAATCTATCTGAATATTAGGAAAGGTCAGGTAATTTTTTTGTAGGGTAGCTCTGAAAAAGAACGCCATACCACTTTATCACTAAACAAATTGGCGAGTCAAAAATAAGCAACCTAAACAATCCATTAGCTTTGCAAGATAAGAAAAGAAATAGAGAAATGCATGCAAAATTCTCAACACAAATCAAAATCTTTAAACCTCAGAAGTAATGAATATTAGGTAGGATGAGGTTTATTTTGTTTCTATTACATTACATCATCTTTAAATCTCAAAGCAGAGCAAAACTGGCATACCCGAGACATTTGGCCTATATCGACAGATGAATCAGCTTTATAATCAATATGGGCATTATACTGCAAACCTGAAAACGGCTTATGAGTCCAAAGCTGAATACGCTGAACAGGAACTTGCATAGTTTGTGTAGCTGCGACGCGGGCTTCAGAATACCTAAGACGGCGAAGCGCACGACGCGTCTCACTTTGAAGTGGTGTCTCAATAGCTCTAGCATTCCTATATCTCCTGGAAGCAGCCGTGTTCCTACCAAGTAAACGTCGGCTGTGGCGAGGCATATTCTGAAAAAAAAAATAGATTGAGATTAATAACAAAAGCTTCAAAACCAGCAATTTCTAAACAAAGCATAAAAATTTCCTGTCTTTTTGAGCTAAAAATCAAAATTTTTAAATTTTTTATTCAAAATAACCTTCAGATATGTTAAAAAGATTTGAAAACTAAAATCATAATATTATATATTACCAAAAAATTAATGTACAAAACCAGTTATCATTAAAAAGCTTCAAAAATAGACCAACCGCTGGATACGGCAATGAAAAAGCATGCTTTTTTGAGGTAAAAAATAGAAATAATTTTCTAAAATACAAAATACAACCCCTATATGTTAAAAAAACTATAAATAATCTAAATATAAAATATTTAATCAAATAAATTAAAATATCTTTAAAAAAATTTTGAAAAAGGACTTCAAAAAGACAAATAAATGAATCCGTAAATGAAATCCCTTGCTTATTTAAAAATATAAATAACCTATTTTTTAGATACAACCCATATATGTAGAAAATATAATAAATAAACTGTATTTAAAAGATCAAAGCAATGATTAAAAAAATCCATAAGAAAATTTAAAAAAGGACCTCAAAATGACCCATAATTGAACACAATGAAATTGCTTGCTCTTTTTTGCGATTAATAATAAAAAAACCAAATATTTTAAAAACACAACACCTATATGTTATAAATACCACAAATAATTTGTATTTGAAAAATCTAAATAATTAAATAAAAATTTATTAAGAAATATTTGAGAAGGGCCTCATAATGACAATCACATAAACATATCAATAAAATATCTTGCATCTTAGTGAAAAAAAAATAGAAATAACCCAAAATTTGTTTACAAAACAACCCATATATGTGGAAAACACCATAAATAATCTACTTTTAAAATATCTAAGGAATTAATTAAAATTTTGTTAAGGTCCTCAAAAAAGACATACAATTGAGCACATTAATGGAATTTCAAGCTTTTTAGAGAAAAAAAATAGAAATAACCCAAATTCTTTTTGCAAAACAACCCATATAAGTGGAAAACACCATAAATAATCTGTTATTAAAATATCTAAACAATTAATTAAAAATTTTGTTAAGGTCCTCAAAAAAGACATAAAATTGAGCACATTAATGAAATTTCAATCTTTTTTTCTAAAAAATAATATAAATAACCTTAGTCTTATAAAAATACTAACCACGTAAGTTAGAAATAGCATATATAATATGTGTATAAAATAAAAAAGAAATAAATTAAAATTAGCCTAAAAAATTATCTAAAATATAAAATTGATCTAATCAAGTAAGGCTTCAACTTTTTTTTGGTATAAAATATGAAAACTATAAAATAAAAGTATCTTACCATGTATAAAAGTTATTAAAATATATATAAAAAGATTAAAACTAATTTTCCAAGAAGCGCAAAAGTGTAAACACTTTTGAAAAGCCTAAAAATTTATCTAAAAAATAAAATTGATCTCATCAAGTAAGGCTTCAACTTTTTTCGGTATAAAATATGAAAACTATAAAATAAAAGTATCTTACCATGTATAAAAGTTATTAAAATATATATAAAAATGATTAAAACTAATTTTCCAAGAAGCGCAAAAGTGTAAACACTTTTGAAAGTGTAAACACTTTAACTCTTTTGAATTTTTTTTTGTATTTTATCGATAACAGCAAAGTTATGTATGTTAAAGTTAGGAAAATATTTTGATGTTAAGCAAAACCTGCTCCATCTCGTTTTACATAAATGTTGAAAATTTGGTCGAAATTGATGCATTGTAAAGAAAGTTTTTAGTGATGTCCACTTATGAAATTTCCATTTTATTAATATAGATATGAAATTAATACATTAATTTATATGAAATGTAAATATACTAGTTTATAGAAATTTTATTAATTGAAATTTTGTCTATATACATATAGCAGTCAATGAAACATGAAACTATATAAATCGACGCAATTATCCCTAGCCAGGATATCACGTTTTGTGTGTTAAAATAAAATAAAAATACATGAAATATATATATTTATATATATGTTGTATTGAAATATTTTATTTTAAAATGTTATGTATTAAAATGTTATTTTATTTAAAATTATAATTTCATAGATATAAATACTCTGTTTTAATCGACCGCCAGAGGTCACGCTTTTCCCTATAAATACTTATTGTTGTTCTTCCCCGCTGGTCGGCCTCAAACTTTTGTACATTATGTAAATAAGCTTTTCATTTTTTATTCTTACGCCTTAAGCCAGGCAGTACTTTAATCAAAGTATGTTATTC